GGGGGGGAGGGGTACAGAAACGCATGTTGCTTGCCGCTCCTCACCACAAGAAACTTCCGCGCGAGCTGCCAGTGGCTAAGAAAGAGTGATGTCGCATCATGGGGAAGCTTGAGGGTACGGAGGTGAGTGGCGGCAAGGTAAGAGAGGGTTGAGATGCCCCACAGGACGAACGAGATTGGAGTTTTCGCTTGCCGCTGAGTTGCCTGCCCGAGCCGGGCTTCCAGGTACGAAACGATCGGCCTCGCACGCGGGAAACGGTTGGGGATTGGAACATAACGGCTAGCGTATGGGAAATAGTTAAGGGTTGGCCTGCAAGACCGCTTCGGCACCACCAAGCGGTTGTGTGAGGAAAAAGATAAAACTGATATCAACACCTCAAGCCAGGTAACAGGTATGGTATGTGGGAGGGTCTGGTGGTACAGCCCTGGATCAGGAGCTTGAGTTTGGTGCGAGAAATAGTGTTGGACGAGAGGGGGTTTTACCACCACCCAAATGTGCGAGAAGCAGCGGTACCCCGGCACCATTCCGGCGCTCTTCAACATCCAAAATGCGAGCATGTTCTTCTCGCAATTGGGGCTCACTGGTCGTCGCCTAATCGAAAGCCAGTCTCCGGGTTGAAGAGCTGCTTGACGCTGTACACGTTAGCCCAGTACACGTTCCAGTCATCCCCGTCGGTCTTCGTCCAGCCTCGACGCTGCGGCAGCACGACAGCAACAAGGAAAAATTGCACAGAGCGGGAGACATGCAAATACGGACAACAACGAGATTTGCCATGTCGGCGTTTGGTACAGCAACGATAAACTAGAGGCAGCAGTCACATGGTAGGCATCCTCTCCACAACCGGACGGTCTTCAAGCGATCTACAGAACGCGCCATCACAGAAGAAGCTGGAAGAAAAGAACCACAGCCTGAGAAAAAGAATACACTCAAGAACTTGACCCAAGAACAGGTTCTCAATCAAGAAAGTTACACTAGAACGTCGATAGTCGATGTTGAGTTACCCCGCAGAGAAAAACGAAAAGAGCCTTGGGGCAAGAAAAGGGGTCGGCATACGTTGGCACGTGCTGCTGTAACTCCTGACTCAAACCGGCCAGTCGGTTGCTGCTCCCAGCCACTCTGTTGCTCTGTACTCAACGTCAGGTCACCTCGAAGTTGGACACGACGACATTCTTCTCGAAATCCACTTTCCACCTGGTGCGGTGTCGATCGGTCACCCGCGAGAAACGAGACAGAGAGAGAGAGAGAGAGAGAGAGAGAGAGAGAGAGAGAGAGAGAGAGAGAGAGAGAGAGAGA